CGCACCAGGCTGCCAGTGTGATTTGGGGACGTGGAGAGTCTGGAGAAAGTTCAGAGAGAGTCGAGAGAAAGTTCAGAAAACGCATTTTCATAGCTGATTCTTTAACTCCAATACCGAGTGATACCATGTGCTTCCCAACCCCCTTGAATATAGTGTTTTGGTATAAGAACCGGCGCGTCGTTGGATGCAAGAGGCTTCTACATCTACCCACTCTTATCCATATTCAGAATACCACTTTCCTACACTTTAAATCCCAACTTTAGTGCACTGGCAAGATACTGCAGGGAAGTACAATTCCGTCATGCAAAAGGATACTCGGGCCCGCTCCCGTAGTCAGCCAAACCACCAAGCAGGCAATCCGAATGGACTCACACACAGCGCCAGATCTTGGACAAGGACATTTGAAAAATTGAGACTGGCAACCCAACAAAATGAAAGATACAGCTCACCGAGCACACGGCCAAGTGAGTGTTCATCACATCTGGGTTCTTCTCCACCCCCAATTGCAAGCCAAGTAGGAAGCCCACCAAAGGGTTCCTGGAAGAACACATCACAGACCAGGGCATATACAGAACTAGAAACCAAACACGACGCACAACTCGATACGGAACCCGTACATGTATTTGATCATCAGAGTAATGAGTACCAAAATACCCCAGTAACCAAGGAATCCGAACCACACATCGGACCTGATCCGGAAGATATCGAGATCGCTGATGGTACCCGACCAGGGCAGGCTCGGGGAGCACAATCTGGGAAGAGACAGGGGCAGGAATGCACGAAAACTGTTCGGATCTCAACCATGTCAGGATCACAAGACATCGTCGCTGCCCAGCAAATGCCAGTCATTCCAAGTTACATAATTCGCCGCAGGCGGTACAGTCCTGGGATCCTCCTATCATCACGTTGAGCTCAGGATTCATCTCCGGCACACAGCAGACAGGCAAGCTCATCTGTTATCAAAAGTTCCAACCCAGCAGTCTATCCGGGTATACCTCAATGGGGGGGTAACCGGGGCATAAATCCCACGCGCCGGAATTTTGATACTGGACCTGAACGTCTGATACTACAAATAGCCAAGACTTTGATTCTCGGTTACACCCTTTGTGTTGACCTAGTACCGAGCGTGGTTGCTTTGACGGCCAAGATACACAGCATTTGGTGCGAGGCGCTGGATAAGACGTCAAAGCCTGCCGATATTGTGCCATCAGAGCATATTTTGAACCTAGTAAGTCAGCAATCACTGACCGGATGCTCTGCAGATTGTCAACGAAGATAGATACGACAAAAACACTCTAGGGTAAAGTCATAATACATCTACCATGTGAAGTATAACATTGTAAAGTTATACAAGATGCCACAGGACCCTGCAGGTATCGAGTACAGGGTTGAATAGCTCTTAAAAGGGGATCGGCTTATGTGCGACTCAGTCAGGTACCAGGTTGGTCACTGGCAGCCAAATTGGTAGACCTTGGATTCTGGCTAACTCAGACTAAACTGTGCACAGAATCTCAGTTTCAGATTCCTTGCGCCTAAAATCGCCAATGCTATCTTTGGCCAGTACTTCGCGGGAAAGAAAATACAAGGTATTCTAGAACCCGACTTTATAACTGTCAACAACACCACTATGGTGTGCTTGACTTGTGCTATAATCTGCCACAGACTTAGGGCATGGCAGACGGGGGCATACGTGGAACCAAGGGACTTCAAGCCTGATGTGGTAGGAGGTAGGATGCTCCTGAAACTCTTCAAGCTGCGTTCGACCCCGATCCGGCTAATATGTCGCTTGCGTGCAAGACCTCTTTGCGAGGCAGGTTCGAATATGGCAGAACTGTCCAGTGTGAGTACATGACAGGATTCTCACAGGCATCCGGCGGACTATCACTCAAAAGATTCAGCCGCGGCAACAATATGGCCTCCAGGAAGATCGACGGAAAGGCTACCATGATGACTGGGATGCTGTTGCAGTGGACCTTGAGAACCAGGATCCAGGCAATTGTACTGGCAGCTCTGCCGGCAGATCTACACCGCGCCTGAATCACCCATGATATCCCGACTAGTATGCGGAGATAGCTGGAATCTATCGCAGGACACTGATGTAACATCTGATTTTGGCCAGACATTGGAGAGCCCAGCGGTAGGGTTCCGACGTTACGACCCAAGCAGCCAGGATGATACCCTAGGGTGCGGAATTGACAGATCATCTCAGGTATCACGACTCTCATTGAGTTGCGGCGATTCACAAGGCACGAAGAAGGCGCCCATATGACTGTTGGACAGTTGCGATTATGCAGCATTGGGCATGTGAGGGAAGGGTAGGGACGTCCAAATGGAGTGGAAGGCGGTACTTCACCAGCATGGACGAGGGGGAGAGGGTATTTTAGTAGAATTGATGAGGGGGAGGAATAAATGTAATAAGGGAATAAATTGCAGAGAGATGACGTGACGCTAAACTCAATAGAGGTCATGTAGCTACTTGTACGAAACGTAAAGTTCATGAGACCATCATGCAGTGTAAACAAGGCAAAGGTGAAGAAAGCAGAACCAGGCCCAACGGTAGAAATTGTGAGAAAAGTGCATCAATCCAGATGTGCGCATGGAGAACACGACACTAGACTGAAAAGGGGGCTGGGCATGGTGCACATCACAGACGAAATATTCACGCGGTGCCAGGATTTTGGAACCACCTACCATGATATCCAGATCAACCAACAGAGCTATATAGATGTCCATATAGGTGGACGAATATAGCAGAACCGCCTAGAGGTGTTAAGCAGATGGGGCGCCGTGTCCAGATGGTGAGGGGCATGGTTAACTGAGTTAGGAAAGGGGAGGATACAGTATTGAGATCAGGATGGAGAATAGGAGGAGTTAGGTAGTTACAGCACGATGTGCTCAGGTGCTGGGGGGTTAGGACGCTGAGGGGGTGCGGAATAGACAGTCGGGACATAGCGGGCGCCGGGAGCAACGTTCAGATGGAAGCAGGGCACGGCTACCAGAAAGGAAGGAGTTCGGGCTCCTGGGCGCCGCAGTGTCATCTCCTGAGTAATGGTTTGCGTCCTGTGCGTCCTGTGCGGCTGACGCACAGGGCGCAACTATCATTTTTTGGTGATGAAGTCTTATGACTCATGACTATGAATCACATGAAATCCATTAGCTGACTCCTATGAGTTAGTCTGTAACATACCGTAAACTAATCATAACTTGATAATCAAGTCAAGTGTATAACTTGTATCACCTTAGTAAAACTCATGACTAACAATCTGAGTCATATGTGCAAGTCATAACATTATGTGACCTACAACTGTGAGTTACAAACAGGTAAATATGATGACCTATAACCCACTATTGCGCATTATGTGAAATCTCAGTATACCTCTAGCTCAGAATCCCAAGCTATGTGGAATCTGCCTTGCTTAGTCACAGTTTATGACACACATATATAGAACAAGTTTGATGGTCTTTGTAATGCTTTCAGCTTATATTCAGTACAGTAGCCTTATTGGAAACACCCTAAAATAACTAATTTTGATGTAAATACAGTGAATCCCCAAGGCTCTTACCCAGGCACCATAATTTTAATTTCGTGATTTATGTTTTATAAGTCAAAAAAATAAAATTTACCTGCGGTTGAATTGTACATGTTTCCTGCATTTATTTTGGTCTAAAACAATAACTGAGACACTGATTTCCATTCCTCTGATCCCACGCCTTATTTCAACCTCCTCAGATACTGCAATAAGTTGAGTTTTTATAGTACTGGCTATAATGTTTTCATACCTGAAGATACCATTCGAGCACAATGGTAATGCTCTAAATTCAATAGCTGACACGATTGTTAGATGTATTTGTAGTATTGAATCCCACTTCTCGCACCTTCCTAAATGGGAAGGTCAAAGGTGGAGTCAGGAAAATCATGGAGGGAGACCAGCTTGGTACACATTTCAAGCGTCCCCCATCTACTAGTCTTCCTACATACAGTAGTTAACCATCCTATCCCTCAGTATCTAGCAATCCCGTCATTGATTATCACTCGTGCCTCCTGGTTCTGTATTGTGAATACTCACTTTGGATCATATGGCTAATGATATGGAAGGAAAGATTGCAAATTGACCATATCTGCAACCGCGCATCTCAGGGCATCTGGCACCCATAACTATCGTACCGAGCACCGCTCGAGCGAGAGGCACCGCTCCCTACTTGTGCCACCAGCACAAGCTAGTATTCCGATGCAGAGTTCGACAGTACGAGGATTTCTTCGCTCTTTCAAATATAGAACTCGGTTCCGGAATTGATCCCACTCCCAATTGGTCTCCGGCCACGACTACTAGATGTTGTTTCGCCGTTCCTCCTCCTTCGGGCCTGTCCGGGGGTCGATGTTTGGGGTACGGATGGATTCGCCGCGGAAGTTCTAGGGTACAGTATTGTCGTGTTTGTAAATTTCTGGTGAATTTTTTCCTTCCTATCGTGCCTCGGGTGGTTGTCGGGCTCTGGTCGCCTGCTAGCTTTGTTTGTTGGAAGGTATAGTTCTGGTCAAAAGTCATCGTTGGTGGCCCTAAGTACTGCCCAAGAAACACCAAAATCAAATGGAGACTGGGGCTTGGGAAATCCGGATTTGCATCCCCACCTCTTAACCAATTAACTTTAAAATGTATTGATAGCTAGCCAAAGAACTAGCAATTCTGAAATTCATATTTCTATAATAAATCCCTTTGTTCTGTGTGCAACACTCATCATCTAGAATGACTGATTCAAAAACTGGAGATAAGTGCTGAGAATTTGTATGGCTCCCCACAGCAAAAGATACCTGTTTTTAAAATCACTAATTTCACACCTCTACAGTTCACACAATGTTGCATCATATGTTTCAAGATTTTAATACTGTGAATTCAATACTCAGAATCATCATTTCTACAAGAATTGATTTAATTGCACAGCATGTGGTGGAGTGTCGATGCTGTGGAAAACTGTACTTTTGGTGTAAAAGTGGCCATCAACGATGACATTCGTCACCTTACTGTACCTCGCTTGCTATAGATAACGCTATGGTCTGAAGGACCTTGTGGCAATGGGGTCATTCTCGTCAGTGAGGTACCACTTCCTTCGCCGATATTAGAGGTCTAGAGCAGCTGCCGCTAATAGCCAACTTGTGATATGCAGGTACATTTTGAAACTCCATCCTCGGGCTAATGATATACTGACACTCGAGAATCCAATTCTTCACAAGAACGTCAAATCACCTATCATCTAGTATTACCCCCCCACTAATAAATAACATCCTAAATCTGAATGCTACACTTCCCCGCCCTTCTGCTACCGCTTACCCATAGTTCTCATCAAACTCCTCCTCCCATTCCCCTTCATTGACAGCCACTTTCCTCTTCTTAACCAACCCCTCCCGATCCATGGGGCAAGTACTCCGAATCTTCAACCACGGCGCGATGCACTCCAAATCAAAAAGGTGCCTTCCTTGACACCCCAACCGGACTACAAGCGGGAACTCATCGTCTAGAAACCGCTCGCCACAAATCGGACACTCATCCCCCGCCTTGAGCTTACTCTTCGGAACGCGGTCCAACGTGTCAAGGAACTCGTCCGGGACGGCGTCTACTGGTTCGTGCGACGTAGCAGCGGAGAGAAGTTGCGTGACGATTAGGGCGAGGGTGGTGGTTGGACTAGAGTCTGTGCTGGATTGGTAGGCGGCGGCGAGGGTCGTGAAGAGATTTGGAGTTGCAGGTTCGTTGAAGGCAGTTGTGGTGGAGGCGGTAGTGGTGGTGGGGAGGGCGGAGAAGAATTCTGAGAAGTCGATATGGGAGCGGGGGGGGCGGGTGCTTAGGGGCTCGACGTTGTGTTCGTCTGTGCGGACGGGTTGGTTGGTGAGGCACCAGTGGGGCGGGGGGGGTTAAACTTACCTTCGTAGCTCGCCATTTTGGTGTTGGAATTTCCTGTTCGTTGCGGATGCTGATGTTTGATAGCAGGAGTAGCAAGCCGAGCTCGGTGCTAAGTTAGGTTCGAAGTCGGGGACGATTGGTACTGTACTAGCAGGGTACGGGTGTAATCTTGCCCTGTGGGAGCAGTTGCGGGGAAATTGCCGGGGCACTCGACTAGTCTCGGAGGGTTTCGAAGGCGAGCCTTCCGTTGGAAGCTGCGAGTCACCGGGCCTTCGTTGATCTTCATCAACATGTTGAGTTAGGGATGTACGAAGGGGGTCGGGGAAAGTCTGGCGAACGTGGCGGTGCATGTGGCGATGGCTCTGTCCAGGAACAGTGGTTGACGTACGGTAGTTATTTGACCATAACACACCATAGTGAAAATTGCCTAATACTACTCAGGTTGAAGCATATCGTGACTCGGAAATGAAAACCACTCAGTTACTGGTTATATTGTACAAGTAGTCACTCGTGTGGGTACCACATGGGGCCGAAATGGAGTGTAGTTTTAAGTAATTACTATATTTGATAAATAGCAATTTACCTACAAAATTTAATGGTCTTTATATATTGAAAAAAAACCACTAATAAGAAAAATTAAAGTCTTAAGAAATAATCAAAGTAAAAGAGAAAATAAGATCACATGAAAAGATGAATGGACAAATTCAGTGAGGACAAATAAGAAAGGTAGAAGATAAAAGTAAACAGAACATAAAAGAGAACAATCAAATCATAAAGTAGAAAAGGCAGAGATATTTAAAAAAAAAGAATAGAAAAACTTATATAATATGAAAAACCTCAGAATACACAATATTTTTGCACAACTTTTCTCCTTCATATACTGAATCAGATATAAATACTTTAATCCTTTCACTACTTGTTGCTCTTGATAATGCAATATATAATTGCTCATGTCCAAATACCTCCTCACATAAACTAATCCCAACATGTTCTAATAACTGCACTTGTACCTCATTCATAGTCATTGCATATATTAACTGAATTGGAAACTGAAGTCAAATTAGGTTTATAGAAATATCTTGTAATTCTTGAGAAGAGATGTGAATTTGTAGAATTATGACTTCAGTTCCAGCCTTTATGCCTATCATTATAATACCTGTAAAGTACAAAATTCAAAATCATATTAGTATAATTTTAATAATAATATACTCAATTAGAAAAAATCATATGAATTAATAAAACTTACTATATATTAGATTTCACAAAAGACCTGTGATCTTAAGCATTGTTTTATTGCAAAGACCTTGACATGGAGTCAGATTTTGTAAAAGCATAACTGGTGTACTGACTTTTAAATATAATGAATGTGGTAGAACTCTAGAAGGTTGTAATGTATTAAGATACTCAGAAGAATACATTGTTTGTTTCTGATCAGAAACAGTTTTGGCCCTAAGATATGTCTGGATAGCTGAAGTACTGGTTTGGTAAATAAGGAGATTATTATTGATATGGTCTACATTAATATTTCATACTGCTATAATGGCTCTTTCAGCTAAAATCTTAATTGCTAGTGACAGATGCAATGGAGAGGTAAAAAAACTATGTAGGTATATTTCCTCCATTAAACCATGTATATCATAGTATTATCTGAAGGAACTATTGTTAGAAAAAAGAATAATATGATTGAGAACAGGAGAAGGCTCAGTTGCAGTTTCAATTTGGAGAATATAATCAGCATATTCTTTTTTATTATATATGATTCAAGAGTCATATTGGCATATATCAGATAAATGTTTTTGTAATGGACAGGGTCTGAGGATTGGGTAGCCCAAGGCACACCACAACAGGGACAGGCAAGAGTTTGGAGGCGAGATCTAGGAACACGTGTGCAACCAAAGCATATTGTACAAGGCTCGGCAGTCAGGGATTCAGTGTCAGGGTTCAGAGGTTCAGGAGGACGTGGAGCAGAGAAGAGTGTAAATCCTAGGTACAGGTGTTTGAATTCAAGCTAAGTTTATTTATAGATGCTATGCCAAAATATGACTTATGGTCGAGTGATCATCTGTCATACACCCAGTCTAAGGCCGGGCACCATTCCGGGGGACCACAAGTGGACTGGAACTGCCACCAAAGTGAACAGCCTAGGGCCGGGGTCCGTACAATATACCAGGGCACTCCTCCAAATAACAACTACCCCATAAAGGGTAGAAGCCTCTGAGTCCCAACTGTCAAACACTTCCGCGAGCAAGGAAATACAAGAGCTAAGCACAGAACGTATTACAGACCCTCGCCTCCCCTGCCCAAACTAACAAACTGACAACTCACCTGATAGGAACAGGGTGACCAAGTCTTTGGCCCTACCAAGTGACGGAAAGGTAGTTATGGCCCATGACCATCACAAAATAAAATAAATAAAAAATATTAAATCTGGTTTTAATACTTTGCTGCTAAACCTCATGATCCTCCGGCAGAGAAAAGCTCGCAACATACTTCCCTGTCGAGGCCCCCGAGGTGTCACCCCACTCCGGGCCGCAACCCCTCCTCAAATGTCATTTGCGCCGCCAACCACCAGATGAGCCAGCCTCCCTGCCACCAACATGCCCAACCCCACTCTTCACTCCCACCTCCTCCACCAGTGCTTGCTTCCTAGCGGGCTGCCCCGGCAGCCTCAACACGAGATAGTCAGACATGCTAACTCCTATGCTCGGAGGCAAGGTTACAGCACGACGGCCTACAGGCGCCGCCAACAGGAACCAAGTCTTGTACAGTCCAACCACATATGGGTTCTCTCCCTTAGACCAATGGCCACAAGGAAAATGCTCCAGGGGGAGGTCCACACCGTCAGCAACATCTACCAATACCATAACCACTGACCCATGCGACGTGACTGATCCATTAGTTACCGACCCAGTATCGATGGGGGACAATGGCAGCTCTGGTCTGGCCAGGATGGGGGAAGACCCGACAAACAAATCCGTGAACCAAGGCAAACCCAGCACCTGGGACGCCAGACTGGCAGGGCCAGCCACTACCCCGGGCTCAGCCACGAATGGCTCAGGCACCTGCATCCCCGGAGGGAAGGATACCAGTGTGGGTAACCGTACCTCACCCACTGCCGCTTCTTCAGCAACCCCGGCACTGGGAGGGGGCGTCATATCTCCAGTCCTACCGAACGGAAGGGAGGGCGAATGCCTAGTCACAACTAAGGCTGCAAACTCCTGTTCCAACAAGAGGAGTGTAACGGGGGCTCCCTCAGATAGCTGGTTCCTAAGAGTGTAATGGGGGTACCGTCAGGTAGATGGTTCCTAAGGATGCGACCGCACCAAACTTTGAATCTTTGGAACAGAGCTCATACAAAAGTGTAAAGAATAAAAGTAAACGGTAAAACTTAATATCGTTAAGCTCAGGCTTATCTCAATTAAAGTCTCTAGAGAGGATATTGATTCTGTCGGGGTAGGAGAGTTCTCGTATAATCTTTAAGTAGTCAGACATACACCAAAAACTCCCCCATCAGATTAGCCTGACTATCTTGAGTATGCCCTTCTCCGTAAGGGTTGCCCCGGCACCATGGCCGTGTCCCCGAAGGGCCTAAGGTGTCAGCCCACTCTAGCAGAACTCTCCTATATGCAGGTCAGTTCCTACCAGGTGTTTACTAATAAGCCAGCCAGAGTGAAAACCTCTGCATAACGGTATCTCGTCAGTGGCTAACAGTCGAGACACCTAGGGAAGCTACCTAAATGACTCTCTTCCCATGTGCCATGACCTATGCAAGCTCCTGCAGACATCAGCTGTCTCCCGGCTAAGCTCAATCTTTCTTAACTACGAACTTAGTGGGTCTATGGCGCTCCTACGTCGAGCTGTGTCAGTGGCGGGACCCGTGGGCGCTACCCATGGTCTCTTACCCCCAACACACCACTCAGCATGATAAGTATCATGCTATTAGAGTCTTCAAACAACCCACAAAGAGCCTATGGCAAAGGGGCATGTATAGGCTTGATTGGCGTAAAACCTTCCAAGATGTCCCCGGTACTACCCAGGACTACTCTGGGGACCCTTCTGGATAGCTCATGCAAACTCCGTCAGTTTTGGTCCATTTTACTGTGTTCCTTTTGGAGAAGGTACCTGACCTTCTCACCTTCACCCCCTTATATATCCTGCGAACAGCTTCCGGTCGGACAGACGGCAGTAACATATACCGTGTTATGGACATGTCTTCATGAACTCCATTTAACTAGGAAGAGTGCAACTCCACCCATTTTGGCCTATGACGCCCGGGGCGAACCGTGGGGCTGCAGGTACCCGTTAGGAACAATTCTACCAACTTACAGCTTGTTCAGAGCACTATAGCTCCTCCCGTAGTCTTCCCATCAAAGTGCAACCAAGTGCCCGTCGATCGTCATTGCGCAACAAACAATCCTAACATTTCCCGAAATTCCTCCGACAACATTTCCGACGGAAGATAGGGTAATAGTGTCCCAAAGGTAGGGTAAGTATGTCCATAGTGACACGAAACTGGTCTACTCTGGCAGGGTAACGTGACTCTCATAGACAGGGTAAACTTACCCGGCCTTCCGTCCTAACCTTAGGCTGGAGCGGACATAGTCACTTTACTTCCACTACTTAGGTACACCTATTTCTTAAGTACCTTCTGTTCCTTAGTATATCCAGACCATCAGATATCCCTTGGACATGCGCCCGCATGCCCGCCTAGCCTCCCGTATTGCCTCTTGTTGTTACGCATGGGTGTAGACTTAGGTTGCTATAGTCCTATAACGTAGGGTCGTTATAAGGAGTTGATGGAAAAGCACCTAGATGTGGTGGCGAAGCCTGGAAACCTTCTTCTAAAGAACAGAAGCCTCATCCACTGACCTGGAGAGGGAAGACTGTTCAAATGTGTACGGTACGGCACCATCTTAATAACTTTGTACGAAAATACGATACAGTAGAAGGAGTATACTGCTGGCGCGCTAAGCGAGGAGGTGTTTTGTATGAAGGTAGATTGGTAGTAGTTTATGTCCTTAATTCTCTTAAGCGAGATAGGTGGTCACCCCTATTTATACAGGTGCACATCCTTCGCGTAACTAAGAGGAAATAGAAGGGAAAACATAAGTGTCGACGTATTTGACCGTAACATAAGTAGGAAAAACATAAGTACGAAAGTGTTTGACCCTAAAGAACTGCCAAGGAAATCCCATAAAACATGCATAAATCTAAGATGGTGTGAACGGATAATTAGAACATAATTGTAAATCAAATGACCGATGACCGTGCATGATGATGCATAAAATGTAAGAAATAAACCCGAA